TAACATGTGGTCTTAGCTATCACGAGCCACCTCGATATAGCTCATACACTAATGGGTCATATTGGGTCGAGTACATGATTGATCATTTGCTCTCAATCTTTTAATGGAGGGAATTTTTTTCTCATTTAATTCATATAAAACCTATTAAAATCCAACAATACATAAAATAAAACTTCATTCAGAATATATATATATAGAGAGAGAGAAAGAGAGAGTAAAAAGTCCAAAGTAATCCCCTGACTATTAGTAAATATCTAATTTAGCTACAAACTTTTATAATGTCTCAATTTAGTCTCCCGACTATTAGAAAATATTTTAGTTTGGTACCAAGTCCAAAAATAACAGTTAAAACTAACCCTAACAATTAAATGTGAGCGAATCTTAAGTAAAGGCGAAGATAGTGGTCCACTAGGAGTCACCACTGCGAGCCTAGGAACATCCAAGGAGTGAGATGACTGCAAAGGAATTGGGATTGAGCAGAGGAAGAGTTAATGAGTGCTGCATAATAAAAGCAAAGATAGGAGTGACAATGATTGAGATCAGAGGAAGAAAGCCACCTGAAGAGGAGAGAAGGTCATTAGTGAGCAAGAAAGAGAACATTGCCACTGCCATAAAAAGCTCGTCAACTACCATAGGGAAGCAGCAAAAGCATAGGGATGCCTCTGATAGGAAACACTAGTAGATCTCAAGTATTTCCTATTAATCTTCATAAAACAGTGAGAATTTTCCACAAAAATCCGCATAAAATCAGAAAAACAGTAGATAATTGTTATTATTTGATGAAATAGAAATGGAAAACAGCAAGATACAGTTGATTCTCAATTCAATAGGAGGATCGATCTCTCCCAAATCTCTAGACGTCGCTAGAGCCCAAAAAATCTAAACCTAAGAGAACTCAAATTTCAGCCAAACTCAAGATGCCCTAACCCTAGGAAAACAAACAATTTAATGCATACAATTCAAAAGGAAATCTCTAAACAGTCCCTACATTCAATTTCCCTTATAAATTTCCTCAAAAATCCTTCATAAAACGGCTCATGCATGCGTTCAGTGCATACAGGAGGCGGAGAAACCAGCCTCTATTCGCGTAGGCCGGTCCAGCAGGACAGGCTGGACCGATCCAATGGACCGGTCTAACAGCCTCATGCGCAAGAGCAAGGCAAGATGTGAAACCCACATGAGTCTGCAGTGGACGAACACAAAGGGCGCACAATAGTAAGGGATACTAGTGAAGAATGATTGTAGGGGAGCGCCCCTGATGGACCACCTACATGAGGGTTTCACACGAGGGATCGCAAACAATGTGAGTCACGAGTAATAAGATTAATCAAAATAACTTAAAGTTTCATTCTATCTATAAGATTTTGATCCTTGATAAGTAGATAAGGTTGCCATAATGTGGTGGATTATACATGGAGCTTCAGCACCTCTACTTCAAACAATCGCCATAAAACTGTTTCGCTAAGTTTCATCTTCATCTTGTTATGAAAGAAATTGGAGCACATACTCGTTCATTCAATCAATGAAGAGAAATAAAATTACTCCACAACGGGCTGAAGATTTAGTTTATGTGCATACAAACCTTCGGCTTCTCTCAAGGAAAACTCCAACTTATATGGAAGGAGACAACAGGATGTGGGATGTTGCTGGAGATGGATTTGAATCTCTTGAGGATATGAGAATATTAGAAATGGCTAATCTTTCACTTGATGAGCCTGAATTAGAAGCTATGATATTTGTTGAAGATGATATAGAAACTCAAAGACAAACCAATGAAGAAGCTAATCATATCATTCCTTCTATTGAATAGTTGAAATTTCATGTGCTGGACAATTTGTCTTCTTGTTTTTGTTGATGTACTAGACATTTAAATGTTTAATGCTTACTTTTATTTTAATTTTTTTGTCATTTCAAATATTACACTTTGATTACTTTCTTAATTTTTATATATTATTTATATATTATAATGCCGTATCTGCGCCGTATCCGTATCCTGTATTTTTAAGAATTGGCGTGTCCCTTATCCGTATCGTGTCGTATCCGTATCGGTGCAACATAGATCCAAGGGTTGTAGTTAGTCATAACTTTGACAAGCATGTGTCAAAGCTATAATACAAATATTTGTGTTTTTCTCACATTTGAGGCTGCAATCCCTTATGGTCATTCTATAAACTTCGAGTTTGAAGTCCCACGTTTTGGCTTTCATCTCGCTTGTGGTTGTAAGACCCACCTCTAGGCCTTTTGTCGAATGTAATTCCTAACCCAATTGACCTGTTTTGCTCTTATGCTAGTAAGCCTATCATGTCAAACCAATTAATTGGGTTGAAGCAAAGAGAACAAGCCCATTAAATCAAGCTTAATAATGAAGCCTTTCCACCAATATAAGACTCAATTTTGAGCTGGGTTCATGACAAAGAAACTAAACTTGAGCCGTCCATCAATGAGCTTTTATAAGGATATAAGTGATAGAGGTGAAGGTAGAGGCTTGTTGTATTGACTTGAGGTTTTGTTGTTAATGTGGGGTGGCTTAATGGAAGGTCAAGGGTTTGTATTTTGTAAATGGGAAAAGGATTGTGGCGGACTGGGTCTAAGTTTTTTTTCCTGTGTAATTAGGTAAGATGCTAAGAGGATAAGGCTAGGGTTCAGGACTTTTCGATTGATTGAGAGGTTTAAGTTGGGATTAGTGTTATAGATAACAGGTAGAATTTGATTTGGGCGGTCTAGGATTTTGGGATGCAAGACGAAAGAGTGGTAGCCAAGTGTTGTTAGAATTAGGCTTTAAACTATGTTGAAAGAGGGGGAAGTTGAAATGTAGTACGTTTAGGGTTTTAGGTTGGATATAGAGAGATGGAGAAAGAATTCCACACTAAAGAAATTTTAGACAGGTAGGAAGTCAGCATTTCATCCACCACAATGAGAGAACAATAAATTTAATTTTCTAGGAATAATATTCCATGAATTACAATTGCCATATATAGAGCATGAAAATTCAAAGTAATCTCATAAAAAGTGGGAAATAGCAAAGCATTGAAAGTTACCAGCCAATCAAACATAAAAAATGAAACCCCTTGACCTCTGGAAAGGTACTTCAATTTGCCTTAGAAAGAGAATGTGCCAACCAAACATGCATGGAAGGTGTAATCACTCCTTCAAATAGTAGAAATTGATTCAAATCGCCGTGGAAAAAGTTAGGGGTTAGCCAACAGTAGACAAAGTTGATACTCAAACTGATGCTGTGTTGTGGATACTCAAACAATAGACAAAGTTGAAGTCGTGGATAGGTTGACTGCGTATGAGGAACAATATATTTAAAAAAAGAGTGAGGTGCAAACACGGACTGACATCGAGATGCAAGACCATGAAAGGCACAATGGAGAAACTTTTATTCTTGAAAGTCGATATGATGAAGCAATGTTGCAGTATGTTGATCAACCTGTCCTAAATGAAGTAAACATGGAAGAAGAGAAGGTGAGGTAGCCAGAAGAACTACAATTGGGAACAACGGTCATGGAGGAAGCTGTTGATAAAGCCATTATAGCTCCTCAAAATATTGAAGGAAATATGTAACTTATATAGGATGAAAAACTTGAATTGATGAACCTAGCTGTGTCAAGTAAAGGTTTATCATCCATTATTTTTCTTGACAAGTATACTTTGGTTAGCAGTATTTTATCAAAAGATGTTGAGCTTTTTGAAAGAGTTGGTTCAACCACATATCATGAAAAACCTTATTTTGAGAAAAATCCTTCAATTATTGAAAAGATATTAACAAGTATTGCTAAAAGTAAACAGTTGTGTGAGACTTTGTCCCTTACTGTTCCTAATGATGCTGTGGATATCTGTACAACCCAAGCAAAATATGGAGTGCACCAATGACTCTTGGTTGGATGGAATGGACGTCCCCCTGACTGACTGTTGAAGATGAAGAGTTGCAGCTTCATCATCTTGATATCTCTCAGCATATGATTGAAGCGTTCTCATCAGGAGATGAGATTCTCCACATGGGGAGAATTGATGTAGGCAAAAAAACATTTCCTTGGATATTTAATGTTGGGCTGAAATTAGCTAACTGTGCTTGGCCGGCTGTTTGGTGTTTGGAGAATTTTGGCTGATTGGGGGCTGTTTTTTTGAGCTATTGGCTGCTTGGTTCCTGAGCTGCCGTGTTTCTTTCTTGGTGTCTGTTCGGCTCCTGGCTGTTCCGATTCTGGTTGGTCTTTTGAGGGGGCCTGGCTGCTCGGTTTGTAGTTCTGCTGTGTCTTTCCTCTGTTCTGGTTGGCTGAATGGGGCGGCTGCTTTGGGTATCTTTTGAGCTCCTTTCCCCTATTTAAATGAGATGGTGGCGGCTGTTGGGAGGTTGTTGAAGTGGATATTTGTCGCTTAAAACATGAGGGTTTTCTTTCAAAGCTTGAGAGGTTCTTCTTCCCTACTTCTTCTTCTAAGTCTTCTACATAGTTCTTCTCTCTACAAGTTACCCTTGCATTGTATCATTCTTCTTAAGTTTTTATAAGTTGCAGTGTGCCTTTGTTTTAATATTATTGTTATCTTGTTTATGTTTGTCTATGTTTTAAGAAAGGAAGGTTTTTTTTTTTTGCGCTATTATTTTGTTGCATCATAAGCCCATCAACCAAACATCAATTCATGCCCACCTCTTGTTTTTAGCATGAAACGAAACTCTTTGTTTCTTTGACACATTTCTAATAGTTAAGACCAAGCTCATTTGTATATGCTTACAATTATAGTAACTATATTGAATGATTAGTGGTAGTTCATGCCACAATTGTGTTATTGTTGTTTATATTTGGCATCTTTGAATCATAAGTGGCCATGGTGCACGGTTCCAAAACATTCATTGAACCTAGTATGAAAAATTCTTTACTAGGGAACTGGCCGATGACAACCTCAAAAGCATGTCTTCGACATATACTTCCATCCTTGTATGCTTAGATTACTTAGTGATATGTAATACATGGTTAATTGGGATCCTTGAATGTCACAACTCAAAGCTCGATGATGCAGGTAGATTGGGTCTATTGGTACCATAAGATCTTGATTGGTTTACCTCCAGTCCCCAACTAATCTCCTTTCAAGAAAAATTCAAACCTTAATACTAAATCAAAATCTAAGCAACCTATATATTCGAGAGTGCTCTCTTATATGATTGAGAGATGTAATTAACTATGGGGGAGCAAGCGTCCATAGGAAGTCACAGTATCAGATCTAAGTAAATCTAAATCCAACATCAAGAAAAACTTGATTAATTTAAACTAAATCCATCTCAAGAAAAATTACTCTCGAGTTTTTACAGATTAAGGGAGCTTGTGGAAGTGGTTGTTTTCGATAAGCAATTTGGGCATATGCTAGTTCTCTTTTTATTACCCATATTTGGGTATGCTAAAAACTCATCAGAAAAATATTGATGTTGTATTAGTCAGAATATAGGTTTGGTAGATATCATACATGAATATATTGTAGCCTGATGCAATTTTTAAGTTTATTTGTACTTATTTCTTATTTATCTAGAAATTTAGAATGAATTTCAATGAGTTCCAGCTTCTTGAAAAAAAAAAATGCTTCTCCAATATCTGTTTATTCGAAATATTTAAAATTTTCAATGCTTCGAGAATTGCTGTTGTTGATTGAGTTACGACTTTATCCATCTAGGAAGCATTTGATGGTTTGTTAAACTTGTTGGTCCCTTTATTTATGATACTATTTAATATCTGAAGTTTTCATAATCTAATACTTGTTCTTTGAATTTGATATCGTTTATTGTGTTATGTTTGTGTAATAAAGAAAAGTTTGTAGTAGTTGACTAATATGAATGGATTTGAACCAGACAATCACTTTCATTGAAGCAAAACACACTGTTAAAACCTAATTTTTTTTACTACCTGTTAATTATCTGTTTGCCACATTTTACAGTGCACCTAAGAGCTCTTAGTGGTCCATACTGAGGTTTTCAAACTTATAAATTATTTGGCTATTGCTGATTTTAAAAAGACTACAACATACAACACATATGCTTCAACGTCTTCCTCACTTGATTCTCTGTAGTATATATTTTTTAACATGCTAAAAATCATTATTAGATATAGTAAAATTTCTCTCCATTGATTGTCTATCATAAAACATTTTCAGCTGAGATTCGCGAGCGTGACTGGTGCAATGTTGTAACTTGCCACATGGATACCCCAAAGGCATATGTATGGCGTCTACAAAACTTTGTAATTGGTGAGCACATCCTCTCACCTTCTGCGAAGAACCAGACACCAATTAAGGTATGTTGTACTTATGTATTTAATTGGCAGAAATATATTGTCCCCCATTGCATGTTGTAAACAACTTGATAAATTTTAGATTGGAAAACTATGCTAGTTTATCATATATATGGTAAACCAAATGATAATTTGAAGTTTGAACTTTCTTATTTTACTAAATAAAAGAGGCAGTGCATTGCAAAAGCAATGGAGAAAGCATGGTTTTTTTTTAGTGTTTTACTTGAAATTTAGGTATTGATAATTCAGTTAAAATCGTTCTCTTTGACAGAGTTGTGCAATAAGTGCTTGTGGTAATTTTGCTATTTTGGGAACCGAGGGCGGATGGATTGAAAAGTTTAACCTACAATCTGGAATCAGTAGAGGCATTTATGTGGATACTTCTGGATCAAAAAGCTGTGCTCATTATGGAGAGGTGGTTGGAGTTGCCTGTGATACTACAAACACTATGATGATAAGTGCAGGTTATCAAGGTGACATCAAGGTTGTTCATCTTTTCAAAGTCAATTATTATTAAAAATAAATAGTTTCAATTGATTTTGTACACTAATGTATTGCCTAGAAAAAATATACTGATATTTGATTATGTAATTATTTGTTGAGTGCATATATATATATATATATATATATAATAATGTTTTGTATTTTATTTCTTTAGTATAATCTTTTCTTAGAAGATGATATTCAACAAAGATGGATGAGATATTTTGCTAAACTTTTTAATGAAGATTGTGAAAATAAGATTGACTATAGTGATATTAGCACCCTTAATGAAAATAAAGATTTCTGTTTTTATCGGCGTATTAGTAAAACTGAAGTTAGAGAGGCTTTAAAAAAAATGAAGGGTGGAAAAGCTGTTGGACCTGATGATATTCCAATAGAGGTGTGGAAATGCTTAGGAGATGAAGGAATTTCATGGCTTACTAAACTTTTTAATACTATTTTGAAGACTAAAAAGATGACAGATGAGTGGAGAATGAGTGTGTTAATTCATATTTTTAAGAATAAAGGTGATGCACAAGATTGTGCGAATTATAGAGGTATTAAGTTAATGTGCATACTTTAAAGCTTTGGGAGCGAGTTATGGAGCATAGGTTGCGGCGTGATACTAATGTTTCTCAAAATCAATTTGGATTCATGCCGGGTAGGTCGACTATGGAAGCCATACATTTATTAAGAGGTTTGATGGAGAAATATAGAGAAAATAAGGATGATCTACATATGATATTTATTGATTTAGAAAAAGCATATGATAAAGTTCTAAGAGAAGTGCTATGGAGAGTTCTTGAAAAGAAAGGAGTCAATAATGCTTATATTCAAATCATTAAAGATATGTATGCATGAGCTATTACTTGTGTTCAAACACAAGGTGGATTGACCAAGTATTTCCCTATTTCGGTTGGGTTACATCAAGGATCAGCCTTAAGCCCATATCTTTTTGCTTTAGTCTTGGATGTTCTCACTAGACATTTGCAAGAGGATGTACCTTGGTGTATGCTTTTTGCTGATGATATTCTTCTTGTTGATAAGACTAGAGAGGGAGTTGAAGGTAAACTTGAATTATGGAGGTCAACCTTAGAGTCTAAAGGTTTTCGCTTGAGTAGATCTAAAACGGAATATATGGAGTGTAATTTTAGTAGTAATAGACCTAGTGAGGGGATTGTGACTTTGGGCGATCAAGTCATTAATAAGAGTACACGTTTTAGATATCTTGGATCTGTTGTTCAGAGTGATGGTGAAATAGATGGAGATATTATCAGCAGAATTCAAGTTGGATGGTTGAAGTGGAGGAATGCATCGAGCTTGTTATGTGATAGAAATGTACCCCTCAAACTTAAGGGAAAATTCTATAAGATGGTAGTGAGGCCTGCAATGCTTTATGGTGCCGAATGTTGGCCATTAAAAGAGAAGCATAATACTAAGTTAAGTGTGGCAGAGATGAGGATGCTCAGGTGGATGAGTGGCTTTACCCTTAGAGATAGGATATGAAATGAGCATATAGGTGAAAAGGTTGGAGTAGCTCCAGTAGAAGATAAGATTAGAGAGAGTCGCCTTAGATGGTTTGGTCACATAAAACGGCGGCCTTCCGATGACCCGGTTAGGAGAGTAGAGGTATTATATTTGACTTATGTTAAGAAAGGTAGGGGTAGACCTAAAAAGACTTGGTTAGAAAATATTAGAAATGACATTTCTTTATTAGATTTAAATGTGAATTTAACTTTTAATAGGACACAATGGAGAAAAAGGATTCATGTAGCCGACCCCACGTAGTGGGATAAAGGCTTGATGTTGTTGTTGTTGTATAATCTTGCTAGGATTGTCTATTCATATGTCCTTGCTATTCTCATTTTGTTTTCTATTTGAACCTTTGTCATTGTTGATCTCCAAAACAAACGTCCAGTTACTGTGTTTCTAAGATAAGGTTCTTCTATGCGGTTTTCTTGAATGTTGGTTTTTAGCTCTTTATGCTGTGCCGGTTTGGGTTTCTGCTATGTGCACTTCTTCACAATTGCTCTCCCTATTTCTCGTGTTCACTCCTAGAAAGATTTTGTATAAACATGAGTTAGACATTGCTTTACATGCTTTATTGTACTTTATCATTGCTGCACACAATTTGGTTTGCCAATATGCTCGTCATTTCTAGGCAGTTGGTTTGCCGTTGTGAAATGGAGTATCTTTTCATCAAGGAATTTTTGTTTATTACATTCCGGGGGAAGCAAGAGTACTGAGAGATTATTGATTTATTCACTTTTCCTTCTAGATCTATGTGACCACCAATCAATATATGTTTAATTAGCTTGTTTTGTCGATGCATTTGTTCTTTTCCAGCTTTGATTCTATTTGCTGTTTTTGCTTTTATTCGATCATACAAGGATAATGGATCCATGGCATATTAGTAGTACTGTTAATGGTGTAATTGATTTAAATGTTTTCAAGTGTAGACATGTCTTTTTTTTGTTTGAATTTATGTGCACATATTGTACTATATGAATTTTGAACCCACTTGTCATAATTTTGAACCATTACTAAACATGCAGGTTTGGGATTTCAAAGCGTGTAAAGTAAAATCTAGGTTGGAGGTTGGTCGATCAGTTACAAAGATGGTGTACCAGAGAACAAATGGTAATGCATTTTCTTCCCACTTTGGGCGCTTTATAAGCATGCTCTCTAAAACCTTCTTTTGGGGTCTAATCATTCCAGTATGTTATGTTCACTGTTATGTTGGGTGTAATAAGAATGTCATGGATTTGAAATATCAACTATAATGGATTTGTGTAATTCTCTTCAAAAAAGTTTGAAAAATGGCATTGCTTCCCATAAACTCAGTAAACGTGAGAATCATAAGTATATAAAAATAAGCATGATTACTTCATTACTAGTCTAGCATGACATCAATATGGTTCGAGAAACTGTCTTTTAAAAATTTTCCTTTTCAATTCGTTACAGGTCTTTTGGCAACTGCAGCTGATGATATGGTTCTACGTGTGTTTGATGTTTTGTCACTTCTAATGGTTCGTAAGTTTGAAGGGCACACAGACCGTATCACTGATTTGTGTTTCAGTGATGATGGAAAATGGCTTTTATCGTCAAGCATGGATGGAAGTCTTAGGATTTGGGATGTCATCCTGGCTAGACAGATAGATGCTATATCCGTAGATGTCTCTATAACAGCAATTTCTCTGTCTCCTTCTATGGACATTTTGGCTACTTCTCACGTTGATCAAAACGGTGTCTATCTATGGTAATTCCCTTTTTTATTTGTTTAATTTTTCAAATGATTATATACCTAAAAAGGTTGGAGTAACTCCATTGGTAGATAAGTTTACAGAGAGTCACCTTAGATGACTTGGTCACATAAAATGTTAGTCAATGGTGTTGTTGGGAGAGTTAATGTATTTGGCCTATGTTAAGAAAGGTAAAAGGATACCTAAAAAAACTGGGTTAGAGTGTATTAAGAATGATTTTTTTGTTAAATTTAAATGAGAATTTGACTCTTAATTGGACGCAATGGAGAAAAATGATTCATGCAGCTGACCCCACATAGTAGGATAGAGGCTTATTGTTGTTGTTGTAATTTTTCAAACTAGTTTAGTGACAAAATCTAGTGGTAATAACTTGACATTTTATATTTTCTTAACTTTGTAATGAGGGTAAGACTCAAGATTGTAAATGAATTGAATTGAGTTGAATTGATTGCTACATTGTTCTACTTTTTGATTCTGAGTTCTAAACAAGCTTGATTATATGTAAGATGTTAATGATTAAGTTGTATAACTAAATTATTACACAAAATCTATCCCAAATTTTTATCAAAATTGACCTATTTACCTCATATTATTTTTAATATTTTTTGAATTAAAATGCCAATAAAAAATAATGTGGATTTTAAATTATTCCTTTAGCTATTGATGCATTTTTTCCATCTTATACCCCTTCCAATATATATATATATATAAATTTTGAAATTTGCAACATATGAGAAAAATGATAGAATGATAAATGAATAATCAAAATAAGCAATTATCATTAAATGGCTATTTTATCAATTTCTGACTGACTACTTTTCAAATAACAAGCAATCATATTCAAAAACATATATAAACATCTAGTAAAAGTTCAAGCCTTTCATTTAGATGTTAAGTTTTGTTCGAGGCTTTTCAATTATCTAAATGAGCGAGTTTTACATGAATGACTATTGAGTTATGCATTGAGGTTATAAGTTTGCTTATAGCCTTAGGTAAAGGTTTCTAAATGATGAACATTTAATCCGTAGCATTTCAAGAGATTCTTTGAACTAACAAGCATTTTTTGTGATTCTATGTGGCGGAATATGGGGAAAAAGATGGCAATTTGAACCTTATGTTAGCGATTGTTGTATATCCAGAGATTTAGTACATATCTTATGCTTGAATGCATTTATTGTTGACCAGAAAATTCAAATGTAACATTGATCACATCTAACAATTATGTTTTTCCTAAATGTACTTATTAGCCGGCACATCTATTTCCAAATGATTCTCTTTCTATTCTCCTACGTTAATGCATTTTGTTATTGGAAATTCAATATGGCCTTGTTCTTCTTATTGTTATTTTATTTTCTTTTGTGATCTTCATGTTTCATAAAGGATCCTAAATTAGATGTTTTTATAAACTTACTTTGCCCGCATATTTTCAAGTTAGAAACTTGTGATTTAAATTTCTTTTGAGTGTAGGGTTAATCAGGTATTGTTCTCTGGATCATTGGATGTTGACTCCTTTGCAAGTGGGAAAAAAGTTAGAAATGTTCAAATGCCATCTGTTTCTTCAACGCAAAGATCGGAAGATGGAGAAGATAGAAGAGAAGAAACCCATTGTGCTTTGGCAAATCAACATCTCATAATTGAAGAGTTTTCTAGTTCACATTTTAATCACCAAATACCTGACCTTGTCACGCTTTCCTTGCTCCCAAAGAGCCAGTGGCAAAGTCTTACTAATTTAGACATTATAAAGGTTTGTACTTATTTTTATTTTGGATGGTTTTTTTATTTGAAGCTACTTCTGTAGTTGTGCTTTTTATTTGATGGAATATGTTAGAAATTATTTTCCCTGAAAGTTTTGGTATTTTAAGTTTTTGACAAGAGTGCAATTCTATTTTGGTTTTTTAGTAAATTCTTCATAAATTTCAGGTCCGAAACAAGCCAATTGAGCCTCCGAAGAAGCCAGAAAAAGCACCCTTTTTTTTGCCCTCTGTACCTTCCCTTTCTGGAGAAATATTGTTTAAGTCTAATGAAGTCACAAATGGCAAAGCAAAAGATACAGAAGTTCAGGAACCGGCACAAAACTTCAAAAAACTTGATCTATCCTCCCCATTTTGTCAGCTATTGCAATCTTGTGCAGATACAAAAGATTGTAAGCATATTTATGATTTTTCAATTAGAAAAAGAAAAAAAAAAATTATGATTTTTCAATGTACTTATAATTTTTTCTCCTTAAAACCTACTCGTTTTGTTTGTCACATCTTTACTTCACTATATCGCATTCTACTTTTTAAACCTGATTTCACGTGTCTGAAGGGAAAAAACTTGAGTTCAATGTTCTTAATGGGAGGTTTTAGGATATTTTAATTTTTCTTAAAAAATTTTTCAGCTGAAATATATATGTATATTTGACAAGGGAAATATGCAGTTCATTCTTGTGTTTTTCTTTTCTAGAGTTTTAGGATGAGGATATAGTTGTGTACTTATTGCTAACATTTTTATTACAGATTTTGTCTTTATAGTTTTTTCTTCCCCTTTAGAAGCTGTTTTATGTTTTTAATTTTATTTATGGATGCATCTTCACAAGCAAGACATTGACCTAATTTGATAATTTTGTCATTAACATCGAAGTAACTGTTTTGTTTTGTAAGTGATGTAGATTTTGGTTGGTGTCTAATGGTATGCATCTTCCAGCAAGTTATGTTTATCTCAAGTGAAGGCATAGTGGAGAAGTTCATTATTGTATTCGTTATCAATACATTTATGCCTTTTCTTTTCGTTTGTTTTGCTTATATTCTTAGTTTTATTACTGCACTATAGTCACAGTGAGCACAATCTTTCCATGTTCTGGTAATTTTGCTGAACTTGTTTGGATTCATTCACCTGTTGCAGTTTCAGCTTTCACAGAATACATCAAAGGTTTACCACCATCAACCCTTGATATGGAGCTTCGTGTTCTTCAAATATTAGAAGATGAGGACGACAAAAGCCTAAACCAAAGACCAGAATTGCATTCGATTGGATTGCTATTGGATTATTTTGTTTACGAGCTTTCCTGCAAGAATAACTTTGAATTTATTCAAGCTGTCATTAAGTTGTTTCTTAAGGTATGCTGTACTTTCAATGTGCAACCAGTCTTATTTTAAATCCTCTTCAATAGAACGATAGAAACTTAATGAACTTGGAGGCATGTATTTTGCTTCCTTTTTGGAACCGTGTATTTGTATTATTTGATTGAAATGATTGGAAGTTAAATCTCATGTACTGTTTAAAAATCCTAGGTAGATGTTATTGTTAACTCCAATGTCTAAGCATTTTAGGCTTAAACATGTCATCCCTGAGGACCCTGAACCTCCTTTAACTGTCCCTCTAGTAGATTAGCTAAGCTTCTATGCACAACACTGAATGCAGCAGAGACTTGCTGGATTCTATAAATCTAGTGGCTTTCTAATTAGGATTGATTTCCTTGCCATTGTTTTTTTTAGTTCGGAAGTGTTTTTAGCATTTGCAACACAAACTGATGCGATCAATACTTTATGTCATGTTCATTTTATTTTTATTTGAACTCTATTGTAATGTGGATTTTATGTTTTATGTTTTCCCCAATGATGGAAGGCAATCGATGATCATGATTAGGTTAGTGTGCTCTTTGATCATGTCCACCATTAGATTGCTAGCATCCTTGGTTCCTTGGGTATTTGATGTGATCTGCATTTCATCTTGGGCTTGGCCCATTAGCCGTCGGCTGCTTGGTGTTTTGAGTGATGTAGCTGATTGGGAATTAGCCTTTTGTTTTGTGCATGTTGGGATCCTGGCCGAGGGCCTCCTGGCTGTTTCGCTCCCCTCGTTGTTCGGTTCAGCCGTGCCTTTTTGCTTGGGATTCCTCCTTGGCTGTTCGCTTTTTGTTGTACCTTTTTCCCAAGGGTTTTCCTGTTTTTGGTTGGCTGTTTGGGCGACTGTTTGGGTGTCCTTTGGGCTGCTTCTTTCCTATTTATAGGAGCAGATTTTTGCTGTTGGAGTTGGTTGAAGATTGATAAGTGTTTAAAACCTGAGGGTTTTTCTTCTTAAAGCTTGAGAGCTTCTTCTCCACCTATTTCTTCTTCTAAGGCTTCTACCTATTTCTTCTCTACACAAGTTACCATCCATTGTATCTTTCTTCTCTTCTAATGTGAAAGTGTTGTTGGGGGCTGGTTTGTTAGTATTTGTCGGAGGAGTTCATAAGGAGTTTGAGCCGAATTTGCTGTGGTGGTCCATGGGTTTGCATGTCCTTGAGCACTCTAATTTTCTATTCGTATCGTACATGTGAGATGACCACTAGTTGGTTGTTCTGAGGGGATTTATTTTAGTTTTAAAAATATTTACTTTATTTAGTTTCTTTATATTCTAGTTTTGTTCTTTGATTCTTTTTAAATTTTCTTTTATGTTTCTTGAGTCAAACTTATTTGTTGGTGGTTGTTCACCTGTTTTGAATTGAGTTGTGTTCTGCTTTCATTGGTGTTCTCCTTGGGCTTTTAACGTGCTAGTTCCCATCACAAACACGGACATGTGGGTATGCTTGTCTGCTCCTTTTTTTTTTTCTTTTTCTTTGGGGTTTTGGGTTGGTGGAAATTTCATATGTATATCCACATTTTAGAGCAGCATTTCCATTTTAAGATTTCAAATTTATTTTTTTTGGTATGCTCTCGGTGCCGAGAGAAATAAATGAGTGCCCATTTTGCAAGTTCAATAGATGCATTTTTATGAGAAAAAAGATTGTGCAAAACTATCTTTATCATTGTCATCATTAGCTTGAACCCAACTATTTGGGGCTAACTTTAAGATTCCTTCTGTATTCATCTTTGTGAGTATTGTGTGAGGTTTTAAGCCTACTCCGTCCTTCATTTTTGTGCAACTTCGATCCTAGCTACTTTTGATTTACCCCTTTTTTTTCCTAACCATTTAATATTAATTTTATTTACATGCATTATTGCTTCATCTTTTTTATCTTTTGTTGTATTTAACCAAACCACAAATCTATTTTTTATTGATTGGCAATCTATTGTTTCTAGTCTTGTTGAATATTAATTTTAATATTCTCCTTTTTCGACATTCAACTTGACTATTAATGACCTATTTACTACCCAAACTTTGACCCATATCATGATTAATCTAATTGCACTTTTATAACAGTTATCATTACTCTATATTATATTATGGTTGCTCAATGTTCGTGAGGTACTACATTTTAATTGTTGAATTTTAAGTGTAGAAGTTATACCCTCATCTATATCTTCATCATTTTGTATAATAGTGATAGGAAGTGCTTGCAGAAATTTAGAAAAAGCCTTGATTGAAATCAGATTTCAACATTTTCAATTTTCAGAAAACCAATTACTAGAAAACCAAGAATAGAACACACAAGAACATTTTTTTATTGAAAGTTTTATGAATGAAAAGACAAGATACAAGTGGATCTTCAATTGGAGAGGAAGATCCGACTCTCCCAAATCTCTAGCTGCCGGCTAGAGCCCAAACACCCTAAGAATAATCTAATTTTAGTAAATAACACATATTGCTTAATTAATCCCCTCTAAACCAGTCCTCAAATCAACTACCATTTTAGCCTTCTTCAATTAGAAAATATTTCTTAATTAATCCCCTCCAAATTAACCCCCAAGAGCCGGTCTAGAAAAGGACCGACAGGACCGGTCTTGGAGGGAGCCGATGTAACAAATAGATCTAAGAAAAATCCATCATATTTCAATATCACTAGATCTTTTTGTAATAATTATTGATTACTAGTAATATCTACCTATTAAACAACATATAATATGCCCGAATTTTGCTTTATTAATTTTAATCATTTTAGTTTTTTAAAATTTTCTCCATAGTTCTAATGTTTCTCTTATTTCTTTATTAAAAATCTTATTGATTAAAAATCTATCATTTGCACTTAGCATTCACCAAGTTACATAACTTTAGATAGCTTTTGTAGGCATCTCCCATAACTAAGATAAAAAAGATACAAATATTATATTAAGGATTTCTATGATGATTGCTAATTACTGGACTACTCCATGTCTACCTCTAATAGCAATTAATGCTCTATCATGCGTACCATTAATAAGTTCATTATAGTTTAGACCTGCGCATGCGCCCTCCTTTTTTTTTCCTTAATGCACTCATAATAAATTTCTATCGATTGAGTCCAGTTAAAAATCCAGAGATATTAAACGGAGGCCTTCCAATGACCCGGTTATGAAAGTTGAGGTATTAGATTTGACTTATGTTAAGAAAGGTAGAGGTAGACCTAAAAAGACTTGGTTAGAAAATATTAGAAATGATATTTCTTTATTAGATTTAAATGAGAATTTGATTTTTAACTGGACTCAATGGAGAAAAAGGATTAATGTAGCCGACCCTAGGTAGTGGGACAAAGGCTTGATGTTGTACTTTTATAGTGCTTTTGCCACAATTTTTATAATGGAACTTGCCATAGTATCCCATATCAAGTTTTGCTTAAGTTTAGATTCTAATTTACCTTCATTAACAACTATGATTAACAATTTCTTGTCTTGCAAGTTTCATCATCTTTTTTTGGTGCAATTATTTTTTTAATAATGTTGTTTATTCCTTGATTATGCATATTCATAATTTGTACTCTTTAAATAGTAAAACTTTTGCTTGGATTTATTTAAGTTAGAAGGAATCTATTCATGATTTCATCGCTCCACTTCAGAAGTTACTAATTGCTAATATCTATCCTTGAAGCATGCTATTGATGTTGGGAGGGCATTTGATAAATATAACTTCCATAGCCCATCTAATTAAATGTTAATATTAGGGTGATTGCTTTTTTAGTTAATTTATTATAAGGATATTAGAAATGTAATTATTAGTTATGCACCTTGAATTGGATTAGAAGATATTTTGATTAACAAATTTTGAAAAGAAATGCATGAACTATCACAACATTTGCATGAAGAATTGAAGGTAAATTGGAGGAGATTTTATTATCACTTATTTTGAATGTTAAATAGCAATCCTCATTGTTGTGGGATTTTAAAAACTTTTGTGCAGTTTTAAATCTATATTAATTTTTAACTACATTCAACTAATTGATGTGATATAGTAAACTTATATTTTTTCAAAGCATGTTTTCTAACTTCAAGTAACCAAATGAGACCTTAAAGTAGTGATTTTGATTGAATTTGAGCGCTACGCATAAAAGAAATTGATACTCAAAATTTTTATTGCTATAGTGCGAATTTTAAGTCAAATTGTGTGTTGACCCCCTCCCGTAGCCAGCAAAGCAGAACAAAAAAAAAAAAAAAATTTCAAAAAAAAAAAAAAAAAAAAAAGAGAAGAAAGTTCAAATCTTACCTGCTCCCTGTCGAACCACGTCGCACGACGTCCGCACCCTTCGCACGTCGCTCGCACGATCGACGTCGCATCCGCCACGACTCTGCACGACGAGCTTCTCGCATCGTTAAATGGACACAGAAAGCGAGGCCTTCGACCTCTCTTACTCGATTACTCTCTCCGTTCTTTCCTGGCTTTCTCCCGATTCCCTGCTTCTTCATCCCGTGAGAGAGAGAGAGAGAGAGAGAGAGAGAGAGAGAGTTTGGGTAATGTTGACGCCGCCTCACACACGACCTCACACGATCCTCGCGTCGTTAAAATGAAACCGAGCTCGTCATTCGCGCGCCCTAGCTTTCTCCCGATCTTCCTCGCGCCGCTCTCCCTACCTCTCCGATCCACCTTCTGCTCTCTTGATCCCCTGCTTCTTCATCCCGTGAGAGAGAGAGAGAGAGAGAGAGAGAGGGGGGGAGAGAGAAAGGGATTTCCTCTTCCCTTACTTGAGCCGATCTCCTCTCCAACGACCGAGCTCATTCTATTCCGAACCCGCCTTCTCCCTCTGCCTTTGTCCAATCCAGCTCCAACCTGAACTCCTATGATGATCCCTACGAATGCCTGTTGATTGAGATGGCAATATGGGAGACCAGCAATCAAAGATCTGCCTTTATAAACAAGTACAATCAGCAAAATCACTCGAGATTGGTGAAAGGGTGGATATGATGCAGAAACAATGGGTCTTCTACAAATATTTTCAGGAGGTTGTAGTAGA